TTGATAAAATGTATGAAAGCCACAAAGGAAAGCATCTTTAATTTTGACCATTTAAGTTTTGCTATAATCCAACGTCCAGAAAGGTTCTGTCCAGAAACCTTTAACATCAAAAGGAACACTTGTTCACAGTCTGTCTCTTGCCTGGTAAGACGGTAAACCAAATTACTTACTTCCTGGACAGGAGAGGCTGCAGTTTCACCTCCAAAAAATCAAAGGCTAGATTTCTCTTTGAATGAGTGAAGAATCATTATACATCCCTTGTTCATGTGCTGGCACATAGCATAGCTGAACTGTTCCCTGATAATTTTTCGTACTAACTACAGACTCTCCAGATGAATTTGTGTGCGTGACCACCTCTCCCAGGTTTGCATTTGTAACCATAAAATTTTATTTTATTTACATACCCCCAAGGTGAATATGGCCAGGTCATAATTTTTGTGCTTTTTGCCAGGACCCCTCTTGAAATTATCAACATTGGTTGAAAAACCAATTTTACCAAAATTGGTAAAAAACCAATATGGACAACAGGACTGCAACCTGTATTGATGCATAATTCACATCATCAGCATTTAGTACCATCCAAGAACATGAGTTTTTATAAAGAGTAAGACTTCCCTACTCTTTCTCTGTATGCTTAAGAATTTCAGTCCCTCTGCATTACCTGTCTATTTTGGGCTTTAGCTATCTATTTTGTCTGTGTGATCCCCACTTACTTCCAGGACAGAGTGTCCTGTCAAATATATTTTATGCTGGATGGTCTATATATGTATACATTTGTGTGCAAGGGTAACACATCTATTTTAATAAATCTAATAAATGGTGTTTGGGTCTCACTAAGTAAATGATCCTGATGACTCTGTAAGAGTCAATCTTTCCATCCTCTGCAAGTTAACAAAAAATAACTATTTTACAATATTAACCATAAACTTTACTTGGAGCATGATTGCTACCCTCTACCCTTCAAAAGCTTTAAAAATCAATTTAATGTTTTATTGATATGAGGTTTGGGGAGGGGAAGTTGTTATTTAAGGAGTATCAAGGAGTTAACTCTATCAATGAATAACTTTATTACAGCTACTGGGTATTTACACCAAGGAATTTTGTTCTAAAGCAAATTATAATATCCTTTTTATAATTTCACCATTTCATGAAATTTTTATGAAAAAAAATTGCTATTTCAGCAATCAAATCACCTCTGTGTTAACTGAAACAATATTCTTTCCCAATTACTGACACATTGTTAATCCTCCATTGGTTTTCTCCAAACCTTTTTAAAAAGTCTTCGGGGTCTTCAGCAATTCCAATTTCATACTGAGTTACTGGGACAGACATCTCAGAAAACTATTCTCAGCCAATTCTTTTAAAACTCCTGAATGCAGAATAAAAAGACCGCTTTATAACCTTAGTTAAGAAATACCTATCATGGAATTTTTAGTAACTTCTTTGTAACCTCAAGGCTTCAAAAACTTGAGTTACCTACATGACATTATAATCTCACTTTTATCTAAAACAACTCCAAAATATTTACTGTGATGTACCTTTTCTTCTTTCACTATGATTCTGTTATCATATCACCTACATTACTGTTAGAGTTCTCAATTCTTAATAAATCTCACATTTGTTATAGTTTGCTTTACCAATCAAGGTTTTCCTCTCAGGAACATTTTATTTTAATCAGTTTAATACATTTTTCATGCCCTACTCAATGCCATTTCTCCTCTACCATCCTTACACTCACACTTCACAGAAAGGAGGGAAGGGCCCTAAACTGCTTCCTTCATACAGCAATGAAAGCAAAACTGGTTCTAACGGAATTTAATATTTACAGGAAACTTTATAGTTGTTAAAGGTGATTTTTAATGTAATTTATTTGGGGAAATCTACCATACACCTGTGTTTGCACTCTCTCACACACATTGCCCATTTTTGTACTTTTTGTAGTCTGGACATGCATATAAGCAGACTTGTAAAGGACAAGCAAAATTCTGTCCCATATCAAATCTTAAGTTAGCACTAAAAAGTTACTGAATGTTTCAAAGTGTATAAACTAACTACAAGCTACAATTCATTTGGCCCATATTGCAGTCATGCAGCATTTTTCTCTGCCTTATGAATGCAAATATTTACCTTTCTCTATTACCGTTAAATTCCATCCTCCATGATATCAACCAGTTACAGTTGTCCTTCCTAGCATATTTACTCTATGGGCCTTAATTCCCAGGCCTCCCAGAATGCCTCCAATACTTTCAATATCTACCACTGCCATTTTAACCTGTAATAATTTATCCGCTTACTTAGTCCTTCTACCTCTTTAGTTTAATTCTCTCCAATTAATCTAATTTTTCCTTCAGCCAAAACAGGCCTGTCTACTTCCAGTTCCACATCCCTATCTTGAGCTGATGTCTGCCTTTAAGAGGCCATGTTTTGTTGGCTTGTTCATGCATCTCCAATTATCTCTTTTCTCTAGGTCAGTGACCATCCTTTCAAATAATTTTCCTCTAACATCTCTCCTTTCCAGTCTTCCACACTGTCACTACTTTGACTTGTACAATAGGAACACAAATATATTTCTGCAGAACTAGCACATCTGCCCTATGCAGCCATTTCATGTACTACATGCATAACCACGATAGAGCATACTATGCTATTAGCAGTACTTAAATTCTGTTAAGATTTCCTGCTCAAAGGCAAGGTTATTGTCTTCTTGGGGGAGAGATCATAGAAACACCATATTTTGATCTAGTTCCCTTCTTACAAAACCAGCTTTTTAAAATGCACATATAGGCATTTAAGAAAGTATATATACTAAAAAATACACAGACAACAGTTCAGTGTCTAATTGCTTTAACAGCTTTGTAATCTCAACAAGAAGAAAATTCAAACTGCGACCAGGATAGCAAAGATCCTTCATAACACCATGAAGCCAAAACACAATTGGTGGATTCAACTTTGTCAACTCTGCACCTTTTCCTCACTATTCACTCTCACTATTGCTAAGCCTCCATGTGCATCAACTGATGTCACTATAAAAACAAAAATAACACACTAGCAAAACAGTAGAGGTTTGAATCAAACTAAAGCAGTAACATTAGCAACAAAAACTACATACTCGAATTTCGAATATTTTTTAACTACTTTGTTTTACTAAGGTAAACTGTCTACAGTAATTTCTAGGTAACAATCCCCCTAAAAACAGCAAGCCAAATATAATTACAACAGAACAAATGACTTTTGGGTTTCCCAGAAAATGCCACTTACATTCAATTTTAATTTAATTCCTGGCATTGTGCCAAAGTG